CATTTTGGTGATGAATTAGGGATGGAGTGTGTAGGTAAAGCTGCATCATGCAGGGCAACCTCCTTTTCAAAAGGACACAAACTTCTTTGCTGACCCACAGAATGCAAGAAATTCCCTGTCGGCCACACACACCAAGTGAACCATCTCAGTCACTGCTTCATTTCCGATGGTGTATAGGAGGAAATGTGAGGTGGGTGGTTATCTGCAGCCCTTTCCCTTAGCACTCAGCATTTACAATGGTTGGATAAGGAGTACTAGAGCATTTTCACAAAATCCTGTGACAGCAAGCTCCAGAGAGTCACTACTCACTGTATAAGCAATTTATTTTCTGTTTTAACCTCATCTTTTGCTGGTTGCTTCCTAGATCCCATATCACAGTCTAGGAAACAAGATGCAAGATTAGTTCAATTAGCACACTCATCACTTTGTAAATCACAATTACATCTCTCCATTGCCTGCTTCTCTTCAGATCCAAGGCCCACCGTTTTCAGTCTGTAAGGTAAGAGCTTCAACCCCTCAACAAGTTTTGCTTCCCTTTTACTCTACTACAAGAACACAGGGTTTTTTGTGTGTTCTTTTTTTTTTTTTTAAAAAAAATAAACATTACACCCTCTGTCCTGTTCCTAATAACTTTCCTAGGAGCTCCAACATTTTATTGACTTCTGCTTGCCATCGCATACTGAGCTGATGATTTCAGACAGCCATCAGCAATGGTTCCAAGATGTCTTTCCTGAGTTATAACTCTTCATTCCAAATTTGGCATAGATCATTTTTTCCCAGATCCTTTGCCCTGTATTTATCTATGTTCAAGTTCATCTGCCATCTCAGCTCAAGTTCAGTTTGGTGAAGTCTAAAGAATTTGAAAGAACTTGCTAACATTTGCAAACTCTGTGACTCCATTTCTTCAGCTGCCATTTCAAAGGGGATGACTTGGTTAACATTCATAACTCCCTAGGAAAAAGAAATCTCTCCAAAATCCCCTTGAAGTCTGAAAGCTGGTTTCTACTTGTCTAACTAAGGAGAGCCATCATGTGTGATTTACAGAGTCAGTAAAGACAACGGAGTTCTGTAAGTCCTGTAAGGAGAAGAGGAAAGGATACTATCTCCATCTGCTTCTTAGCTCCACAGCAAGGAGACTTTGCTTTCTATCGGAGTGCTGGGATTATTCCTGAAAAACATCTGATGTGTAAAATGAACATTCAGACAGATGAATTAAGTAGTTTATGGCGCTAAGATGTTGCTATGTCTAACAAAAAAAGAGGAAAATGTGAGTTCTATCCATTCAGATGAGTTACTTTAGTTATTAGGAGTATTCCTAACTGCACTCCTGGCAGCTTTGCTTATTTAGAAGTTAAGCCCTGGAGAGTGAGTGGAAAGGTTATCCCTTAGGTCAGCATGAAGGGCATTCTGTGGCTGTAGCTCCATCTACTGGTACTGACTGGTGTGATCATAGAATCATAGAATCACTCAGCTTGGAAAAGACCTTAAAGATCACAGAGTCCAACAGTGACCTAACCATACTACCCTAACTAACAACCCTCTGCTAAATCATGCCCCTGAGCACCACATCCAAATGGTTTTTAAACACATCCAGGGATGGGTGACTCAACCACCTCCCTGGGGAGCCTATTCCAGTGCTTAACAACCCTTTCTGTAAAGAAGTTTCCTGATATTCATCCTGATCTCCACACTTGAGTGGGAATCAGCAACATTTCCCTCACAGGTCTTTTTAAAATGAAATTAAATTCACCATTAATTTCTTCTCCTGATATCCTTTCATCCAGCAGAGGCACTTGAGTCTCTGAAGCACCCAACGTGGTGGTACCAAGGAAGTGTTGGTACTGTGGTAATCCATCTTGGGAATTTGATGTAACGTTGTACCTCACAGCTCCAACCCTAGGCCAATCACAGCCTACCAGTCAGGTCCCCTAAAACAATGGGAGCCTACAGGTGCTGGATTTTAAACTTGGAGACTTCATGCTTTCTACTTTCACCAACAATCACCAGGGTTATTTTTCCTTTAATGGCAGCAGCTATTCCAGCAAGAGCTTATCCCAGCAGCAGGATCCTTAGTAGAAAAGACAAATGACAAAAGGCCAAGGAATTTGTAATGCCGTTTATTTCAAAGGTCAGTTCTCTTCAGTGCTGAAGGAAAATTCTGCTCTTCTTTCCATCACTGAAATTACATGTGACTTGACCCCAAGGGAAGTTTCATTTTTATAACTAAAAGCAAAATTTGGCCTCTTGTTTATCATGAGACATCCCTTTTTCTAAGAAAATTTGCTCCAGCTACAACTCGGACTGGTCAACAAAATCATTATTCAGTGTATTTAGTTTTACATTTTAGGTCATTGACTGAAGCTTGCTCTTTGGCCCAGGAACAGCTGTCACTGCTATGGGTCAGGTCAGCCATGCTTCAGCACTCAGATGACACCTCTGTCTACCTACTCCCCTTTTCTGATAATCCATGTTGACCAAGTTGGAGTCATGGAACAGAGTAAGAGAAGAACTACTCTGTCCTTTTTTCAACCCTTAGAGCTAGTACTGAGTTGGGAACACTTCCCCTTCCTCTCTGATCCTGCATTTAGTGTTGGATCATCTGGTGATTATTGACTCTGTCTCTTATTTAAACAGTCCAAGGCTCTAAGCTGGCCCTACAGGTTTCCCACGGCATCACAACCCAGGCCAAGGTATTTACAATCTGCACAACAGGGACAGCAAGGAGTCAAGACTCACACAAGATGCTAGGTTTAATACATGGGACAAGCGTAGTGAAGTGCTATGATCTTAGCTCTCATACAGTCAGTGGGCCGTTCACACAGTTCCTCCATTTGCCTTAAGTTCATGCATTATTTTGGTGGAACCATCTTGAGCCCATCTTGTACCCTTTCACGCATGAGCTGCCTAACAGCAGATTATACCCAAATACACAACACTGGTTTCTGGGTTGTCCAGATCATGCTGTAGCTCCCTCCTTGCCTGCATGTCCAACTTCCTTTCCATAAGCAGGAGATGCCTCTTTTAGTCTTACAATCTCAGAGCTGTGACGTTGCTGAAATGTTCAGCTAGGCCCAAGAGGTTGAAAATATCTCTAGGCCCTTCAATTTGGAAGTAATAAGATCTATGGTATCATTAATTACACTAGTAATTTATTCTACAGTATGCTTTCCTATTCAAAAGTATTTGTGAAGAAAAACTGATACAGTACTTGCACGGACAGAAAAAAGAGGTAGCAAAGTTGTTGGCTTTTTCATTAAAGGAAACAGTTTTTGCCTCTTCAATTTTTTTCAAAAAGCTTACTGAAGCTAAAACAACGCCTGCAACAAAGTAATCATCCCTGGGCACTGTGAGTAGAACTGCCCAAGCACGTAATCAGATCACTAGAAGTCCCAGCGCCATTGTACAGGAAAATAGGGCAGTGTGAGGTCTTGGCTCTGCACTAAGAAGAGTGCAGAAAGATCTTTTTCTTCACAAGGAACCCTCTGGGCTTGCTCTCATCTGCTGTTTATTTTTCCAGATTGTTGGTCCACTGATACGGGTTACACTTTGCTGAGAAGACCAGAAAATGTGTTTGGATGAGATTAAAAGGTCCAGTAGTTCTTTGAAGAATACAATCACTGCTGCAATAAGGTATGAGTCTGCAGCAGTTCTCAGACAAGAGCTGCCTATTTGCAGCCTTTCACAATCAATCTGATCAGTCTGAATTATTCACAATCTCCAGAATCCATATAGATAATTGCAACAATCCCACAGCAACTAAGGTGTAAAAAACATACCTGTCCACAGATGACTTGATCGTTGTGCTTCCTGAAATGCAGCTTTACAAGTCAGTTACCAAGACTCAGCTCAGGTTTCTGATTCAGCTTCAGGTTTTGGGGGTTGGACTCGATGATCTCTGGAGGTCCCTTCCAACCCCTACAATTCTGTGATTCTGTGATTCTGACCTGAAAGGTGCTATGCCCTGACAGACTGGATGCAGTAGTGTTTTGCTAATGCACCAGGATCCTGGTGTTCAGAGATCAGTTTCACAGAACGCAAATAAAAGTGGAGCAAACTGGCTCTCAAAGAGTTTTACACTCTTACTTTTTTTCTTCAAATTCAGACAGGAAAATACCAGTACCTAAAGGGAGCCTATAAATAGGAGGGGAGTCAACTCTTTGAAAGGGTAGATAATAGGGCGAGGGGAAATGGTTTTAAGTCAAGGAAGATTTAGGTTGGATACCAGGGGGAAGTTCTTCACAGAGAGAGCAGTGAGGTGCTGGAACAGGCTGCCCAGAGAGGCTGTGGATGCCCCGTCCCTGGAGGTGTTCAAGGCCAGGTTGGATGGGCCCTGGGCAGCCTGGTCTGGTATTGAACGTGGAGATTGGTGGCCCTGCCTCAGGCGGGGGGTTGGAGCTTCATGATCCTTGAGCTCCCTTCCAACCCTGGCCATTCTGTGATTCTGTGATTATAGGAATGTCAACATTTTTTAAAGTTATAAAGCATTCACTTAGTGATTTGTCAGTGCTTTTTCTTTAACAGTTTATGGAGGACACAGATCTGCACAATCTCTGCCTGGTTCTCACTCTTTCACTTTCTACAGATGTGTTTTTACAGCAGTGTTTTAAAGCAGCCAAACTTTACTCACTTCATAGGTTTTAATCCACACACACAGGTGTGAGAAATCACGATAGACTGATCCTGTACATGTCAGTTGTCACTGCAGGAACTGTGTCACTTTAACTTATTTCTAGATAATTCAGCAAGTCAGTAGAGTTAGGACTTCTGTGAAGCACCCTCTGTGCATCATTTGCTGAACATGTCTGAGCAAAGGTTCAGCTTTGTAAACTGTGTCCTTTCATTTCTCTTCAGCAATAGCCAGTGAACTATTGCTTCTCCTTGCATCCTTTGCAAGCTGTCTCTCCTCAGTGACTACTTATTTACCGGCAGCTACTGAACATTGATATACAAAATAATATGAAATACCATTAAATATTTTCAGATTCTAGAAGATTAGGTACCTGTATGGTATGTTTGATTCTCCTGCACTGTAGCTTCACATTAGATAGAGACATCTGATGAGAACAGCATTTGGTATCTGTAGCCTCATCCCTTTCACCTTGAATTTACTGCAACAGTAAATATCCCTATCTTCTTCCCAGCCCCTTCCATAAGACGTAAGCTTGTGTTCTTCAGTGTCACCAGTCACAGGCTTGGGGGCATTTCTGAACATTTAAGAGAAAAGAATGATATGTGTAAGAATCAGCCCACGCATACCACCTGCAGTAACTATCACAAGGGTTGTGTTACTCTCCTGTAAATATTTGCATAAAGACTTTGCAGCAAGCACACACGTACTATTTGTGAGTCACACCTGTCATTTTCATTATGTATAAGGTAATATCAAATTAATTACTGGTTGTTGGGTCAGGGTTTGTTTTGTTTTTTGTTTTTAAGAATACAACTGCTTCCTTGCTCTGATGCATCTTTCCTTTGGTTTTCCTCAAAGACCATTAAGATTCCTTGCATACTAGCAGACCATTTATGCCCTTGTTAGCCATGAAAGCCACCTCTTCATTACCGTAGTTCTTACCTTTATTTCTTCACTGCCCTTTGTTTGTCTTTGATAGTTAAGAGGGAAAGTTCAGCCTTTCCTCACTACGCAAATAGTTCCCAAGCTTTTCTAACTGCACTCTGCTATCTGGGTTTCTGTAAGTAGATAAAGAGATTTAAACCAAACCCACTAGTCATCATCCTTACACCTCAGGTTCAAACTCAGAGGTAGGTACAAAGACCAACTAAATCTGGTCAGCTTTATAACTGACATCATGTGTCATTCCTTTTCTGTAAGTATAAGCAGGCAAAAAAAAATTAAGACTTCTCCCTCATCATCCCAGTTGGTTGCAGGGGCCGTGGCATGCATACTCTGTGGTGTGCAGCACACATCTAGGCTGCGGGGTGAGGAAGTAACCATATCAAAGTGCTGTGCCCATTTACAGTGTTGTTGAAGCTGACCTTGCATTTTTCCTCAGTAACATTTGTGCAAATCACTAAACAAATCTAACACTAATGAAACTGTGCCTTCTTAAGAAACCTTAGCCTTAATTTTCTATGTGAGGCATCAAGAGCATCTATTTTTAAATGTGCCCTGGAAGTTCATTTTCTGCACAGTTATGAATATGCATTATCTTTGTGCATACATATAAGCACATATATATGAGTTTGCATGGGTGTATGTTTGTACTCACAAGCAGTCTTTCAGAAGAAAGAGCTGGATGTGGCTCTGAGCAGCCTGCTCTAGCTGTAGCTGCCCTTGTTCACTGCAGGGCAGTTGGACTAGATGGCCTTCAGGAGTCTCCCAGCTCAAACGATTCTGAGATTCCGTAGAAGGTCAGACTTGCCACGTAGTGTTTTTGCTATCTTCCAAACAGAGGATTAATAACCAGACTGCTGCCATAAACATTTTATGTAACTTTAATGCTGCTTAGATAAGCCTGTTAAACATTTTCATCCATATACTCCAGTGTTACTGTACATATTTTATACAATATGAAATATTTTTTTAAAGTATATGGCTCTAGATAAAACATTCACAAAACAAGTTCCAATGCAAGTAAAGGATTAGAAAAGAAAAATCAGGCAGAGTACAAAATCTTTGTAAGACAAAAACTTTAGAAAACAAGATATACAAAAACATCCCTCTGCAGTAATTCAGGACTGAGTGGTTCCAGAAGTTGGAAAGGCTGCCACTCAGTGCTGCGTCATTGATAAAAATCTCTGTGCTGGGTCAGCAGGGACTGAAGGACTCCATGAGGTTGGCAGCTTTCAGAGATCCTTGTTCCTGACAAATTTGGCAAGTACCTTCCATAACAGGCTCTCACGTTGGTTGGCTCAAGGAGAAAGAGCAGGTCTGGGAATAAGGAACATCCTGTCTTCCCTCACCGAACCACTGCTGTTCTCTGTAGAATTCTAAGGTGCAGTCTCTGCAGAAGTGTAAGGTGCAACAGCAAGCAGCAGTGAGCAAAAAGTTCTGTGAATGACAGAGAACTCTTATGCTCCCAGATTATTAATTTGGCACTAGCGACAAGAGTTGTTAAGGAGCAGGGCACAATGCTATATTCAAGTTAATTTTACACTTATAATTGTGTCATTACACAACTGGAATATTCAATTAACCTTCCTTTCTGCCAAAAGCCAACTCTGTAATGGGCGGACTGCTTTGCATTTCACTGCTTCCAGAAAGATGTTGTTGCATAGGCATCTGTCCAAATAAAAACACCTTTACACAATACAACATCAGGATGTACCAAATACTGCACTGCAAGAATTGAGGTCAGACAGTAGTCAACATTTGGTAACATTCCATTCAAATGATGTTGACTCACATAATAAGTAACAAAAGCAGCACTTAAGTTACAAAAACAAAGCTGTATTTCCACAAAGTAAAACAGTGCAAATATTCCTGTCAAATTTATGCCACTTAATATACACACACACACACCACACAAATGCACTGTTTGTTTTGCAGTATAAATAGATCTGATTGAGCTGATTTTCTAAAACTAATCAACTACTTACTTTTTAACAATCCCAGACATTTTCCATTTACAAAAGAATACAATAAGCTGGAATGATCAGATCACCATAGCTGAATATGGTTTGTAAAACAACAATGAAAGATTGCACTGGATGGATATTTAAAATATTGTCTCTGTACAAAGTTAATAACACATACTAAGCTGATGTCACAGTCAGATTGGACTCTGATCATGCAAAGAGCAGCACACACAAGATCAGTGACACTGCAAAAAGCCTCAAGGCCCTACCTGTGTGGAACACACTGTAATGCTGCAGCACACGTAGAGCCCAATCCCAGGCCTTTACAAGGGGGGTAGCTTTTTTAGCTGCCTATGCAGGTAACATATCTGTTTAGTTTCAGTTTTCTTCCTGTTCTTCTGGTTTAGCACCAGAATTCTGTTATCTACTAGTAACATCTGTTTATCTCTGAACTCTGGATTACAGTTCAACAAATAATGTTTATAAGGAGTTCTCAATGAAAGTAAAAAATAAAAAAAGGAAGAGACAGAAACTTATATCCTGTTAAATAAATCCTGATTAAGAGTTATTTGCATTTCAGCACTTGGAAACAAAAAAGTCTTTTTAGAATTACATTACAGTAAAACAGACAAGTAGTACTTAATTTGATCTGAAGCAGAACACTCAGGAATCAGAGTCTCTTCAACTGCTATAGTTTCCATCTCCTCAATGCCAGGGCTGTGCTGAAACCATAACAAACAGCTGTGGCAAAGGCAAAAATCTAAAGGGTGAGCAGGAAGAAAAGAAAAAAGAAAAGAAAAAAAAGTGAATCACACATTATATTGCTCTACTTTTTTTTTTTTTTTTTTTTCCTATTTTAAATTAACACAAATGCCACAAAAGGTACCTCCCCGATGGTAAAGATAACTCTGGGATCCTCCGAAGCTCTCTATCATAAACTCTGTTTTAATCCCACATCACTGTTTTTAATTTAGTTGCTAGTTGCTGAAGATATTTTGAAATAGGATATAAACAGAACATGTTTGTGGGTCATTGTAGAAATTAATCGCACGTACTTCCATCTTATATTTCAGTTTTCTCTTATCTAGACTGGTAACCTATGATTAGTGTTTGATTAGAAAGTATCCAGATGAATGCCTTCACTGGCAAACAATGAAGCAGATGTCCCTCTAAACAGCAGAGCTCTTTACTTGCAGAAAGAAAGAAACAGATTGAAGTTGGGCCTTGTTAGCCAAAAAAAGAAGACATGACAGCAGATTATTGAGAAATGTCAGGAAGCTGCTACACTCAAGAAATTGAACAGATAAGAACTGCAGATCGTGCCATGGCAAAAGTGAATATGTAATATAAACAAGAAGGAAGAAGTTAGAAACTGCATTGTTGGAAGTGATAGTTTCTCATATTGTCCAGTACTGATCATGGACACTTTCTATTAGAGCATATAGAAAAAATACAAAGACACTAAAAACTACATCATCTGATCCACCATCTCCCAGCATCTCTTAATTAACAGTGAAGGTGAGTTACAAAATCATGTCCTCTTACTCCATCTTAGCAGAAATCCAAGGGTTATGAAGTACTGAATTCTCCTTAGAAAAAAAAAAAAAGTATGGAAGGAGTAAAGAGTCCTTGTATTTCTCAGTATTCTGCTGTCAGAGAAGATAAAATATTTTTCTTCAGTCACACAAGTTACCATATATCAAGTAAGATCTGAACACATTGAAACAGGGACTGAGGAGCTACTCTAAAGCTTGGAATTTCAGATGTATAATTAATTCAAAGCTCTCCCCCAGTTTAGACACAGTTGAGAGACATCACTTGTCTACCAGCCATGGCCATACAGGAATTTGATGTGCTGGACTATGTCACTGGCAAGTGGGTAATGGTGAAGGACTTGAGACTGACATGCTCAACTCGCCCTTTCAGCACTTGGCTTGCCAAAATAAAAGGCCTTTCTTTTCCCCTCCTGAAGAGAGGATGTAAATCTTACACTTTGGGTTTATCCATTTTGATCCACTCTTATATGAGCTGAAGGTATTTCCTGAGTAAAATTTATGGTTATCTAATTTTGAGGACAAGAGATACCCCCAGAATGATTCAGAAACTTAGTAAATGTAAGAAGTTCCTTTAAGTATGTGAGATGCCCTGGAAGATGTAAAAACAAACAAACAAACCCAACAACCCAAGCCCAAAAATACAACAAAAACCACACCAACCAACCAGCCGACCAACCCAAAACACAAAACAAGCAGTAGTTTCGGTTCTTCAGCTTAATTCTGCTGGCACACCTTTAGTTGCCACTCAGGAGTCCAGCCAGGGAGAAAGCTAAAGCTTTGTGTATTTTCTGGCTCAGCAATGCACACTCACATCACCAGATACAGTGATTCAGCAATGATGCAATTATAGCAATAAAAAGGGGATTGGAGCTTAGATCAATATAAGCTCTCTAATCCTTATCACTGGAGATAGCATGCCCCTTGCAGCTACTTTTTATTTTTATCAGAAAATACACATCTGGAGCTTCATAAGGAGCTAGTCCAAGATTCTTTCCTACAGCATGCTCAGGACTATCTAAAAGGTATCAAAAAAACCCAAGCAATTACAAGTTTGAGAGCAGGCTTGAAAGTCGTACCTGACGCTTTGATGAAGGCTCAGTTTTCATCTTTTTCTTCTATTCCAATACCCAGCATTGCTTTTACAAGATATCTCATCTAAAAACTAGATTTTGTAGCAGTCACAGACCTGAAACACCACTGTGAAAAGTATCATCTAAGCATCTCTCTCATGAGGCCCCATTAATAGATAACTGCACTTTTTTTGCACTTTTGCTGCTTTAAGAATGTTTGCTGTTTTCAAAGACATTTTTCTTCCCCACAATCCCTCCTCCTATGCCAGCTCAGGTCCCAAGTTGAAAGGCTGGTTACCAGCAGTTACAACAATTCCACTGCCAGATACAAGTTCATGAAATACATACCGATGCTGCTACGCTTATGTTATATTCGTGATCACCTAGAATCTTCACATATGTTGTGGAATTTAATCTGCGAGGGTAGTGATGCAGAGATGTAGTTGCTGCTTGCAGTAGAAAAGCTCCAAAATAAAATACAAAAGTAGCACCATGGAAAAGAAAGTCCTGAAAAGCAAATAACAGGTTCAGTATGGGCTGCTGTACTCAATTCTTCTAGTCTCAGCATAAATAAAATCCAACACAGAAACATGAAATGAATAGTGATAACAATAGTTGTTCATAAGCTATGTTTAAGCATGACATATTTTCATATCTGCCTGCAATTACAAGTAACTCAACATAATTAGAAATAGAGGGCAGCACTCCCTCTTCCAAACCCTGCATTCTTTCAAATTAAGAGGCAAGCACTCATTTACATGCACATATACTGACCTTTTAAAATCACTTTAAAGCTAAAAGTGGGCGCTCACAGAATTCTCCCTTAGTGAGCATTAGGTTAAAAACATTAGGACACATACAGGCCAGCTCTGCCACAATACAACCAGTACAAGCTTGCAGTCTCAAAAATCCCTTCTCAGCTAACCTAAACTCCAAAAGCACCCCCTTACTTGTTTCAATTTTGATTCTGGAAATGCCCAGAAACACACCAGCCCTGACACAGCTGAAATGTACTTCTAGGCACACAGTCCAAAAACTGAGGCACTTCTACAATTCTTTCTGACTTCGCCCTATGCAAAATACAGTAGTCTGGAAGTACTTCGTG